AGCAGGAAGAACAATACTTTCTGTGTTTACAGCTAAGGGATGAAACATAGACTGCATCTAAACATGTCTTCTTACGCACGATGCTTAGATTAATCCCATATCTCCTACCCTTTCATTTCTTTCATGTGCACATGTAAGAGGTATCAATTGGAAATGCACAGTCTAACACAAGAAGGCCTAACACAGTTGTGTATGGCATTTGGATGCATTATTCAAAAAAAGTTGAAATCCTTCAAGCTAATCTATTAAAATTCAAAATTTAAACAATCCCGTTCCAAAAAATTAAACGCAGCCCCCCCCCCTCTTCGATTCACCGCCCTTACTTTAAAAAATTTAAATGAAACAAAATTACTTGGGAATTTCAGCTAATCCCTCATGAATTATTAAAATGAGGAAGAATCTTACCTCACATGGTGGCCCAATAAGTGATAAGAGTACTGGTAACAACATGAGCCCGTTGATGAGACCAATGAGTATGAGCGCTGATAGTACAATGAAAAAATATTTTACGATAAATTCAAATTCCGAAAATGCTAACATAACAATTCCTGAAATAAAAATTACACTTTTTTTAATTTCAGCATAATTACTTCCGAGCGTCTTTCAAAATTTCTTTTGAATACGGAGAGGGTTTTGAATTTTTGACTTTCAAGTTATGGCTAGACCTAAAAGCTCGATTTAGGTACCGTCTGTGCTTTGGACCAGATTTGTTGGTTGGACATTACTAACGAGCTTTTGAACCGCTTTAACTGTTAAATGTTAACGGAAAACGCTAAGAAACCCAGAAGTTCTTATTTTTAAAACGGAAGTTTTGACTTATAAGGAGCCCAAAATGAAAGCACACGTCTTAACTGCATGTCTTTGGCAACAATACCAAAATATATTCTACTAAAATTTCAGCTTCCTAGCTTTTCTGGTTCCCAAAATAGCAATTCTCCTCGTAGAAACTTTCGCGGAGTCATACGTGGTACCCGAACATGAAGGCTGAATTTAAGTTTGCACCAGATCATCGATGTAGTAATATTAATGGGGTACTCATGTCATGTGCAGCTATGCTAAATCTTTCGATCCTAAGCTACGTACTATGACTTTGGATTAATACTATCAATTAATCCGATCACATAATTTGATACATTTGTTTATCTTCGTGGAGTTGCTGATGAAAAAAGTACAAACCTAAAAGTGTGGACAGTCCACCATGTATTACAGGAATAAACATGTGCTCCATACAAGATCCCATTCGGTCATTTCTGCTTCCCAATGATGTTAAATAGGCCA